TTGGGCTGTTCGGCAACATCCATAGATTACATTCCACGTAATATGAAAGCACGTATATGCAAAAGCTTTACAAAATGATTATTTTCCAAAGTAATTTTACTTTTTTTTGCTATTTTCACTCGTTGGTTTTGTAAAAACAGGCATTATCTACAAGTAGACTTAAGTTTACCTAGTACGCCCGATTTCCACTTTTTCGGAATTTTCTACTTTGTTAAGTTAACCTAGTACGCCCGATTTCCACTTTTTCGGAATTTTCCACTTTGCTAAAAAATCTTGTATTTCTATTAAACGGTATATTCCGTCATAAATCACAACATGCTATACTGTGAAGAACGACCATTAGTTAATTGTCGTAAGACTTTTGGGGCCGCAGCTTCGGTTGCGTTTGAGTAACAGGGAGTTACTTGTAAAAATCTTTGGATTTCATGATTTAGTGAACCTACTGTACATAACAATTAACAATTCCCTTTTCGGGAAGAAGAAGAAGATGACTCGATCGCTAAGACAATACTTTTATTCGCCTGCGTTTCGAGATCCGTGGCGAATTCATCATCTGATACATAGTCAGATAGCAGTAGCAGATATAAGTTCCCTTTTCGTCATCAAGTGTGTGCGCATGCCACCTACCATCTTGCAATGAGATCTAAACAAACTCGACTATTGAAGAAGATAGCCTAAATAACACCATAGGCTGGGCACCCATTTAGATTACCTCGATGTCGAAAGTTTCTATGAAATTTGGGAAGATCTGAGGCCAGCTAGAGGTGGTACGGCGGAAGTCAGGTAAATCAACGTGCTGTAGATTTTAATCCGACTACCTGAATCCAGTACGGGGGATGAAAGTTCAGCAGGTCACGGCCCGCACGCCAATTATTAGCCCATTAGCGCACAAGCAGGTAACTATCCTCCATGGGGGGGAGCCGTCAAATGGCTTACATATACAGCAGCATAGCGATTTTACCTTATAAAAATACTGAGCAAAAGTAGCTTATGTAGTCCCACTCATTAATTCCTACTTCAAACCTGTTGTCCTACGAAAACGGTGTTTATAGGGTTTTGTGGGTGGAAATTAGGATAGGCAGTGAAATATACTTTAATAAATGCTATATGCATTTTATTTTATTGTATTTGGAAGTGTCGTTAATTTATATCTGTGGATTTCTCTAATCTATATTATCGTGTAATGTATTGCGGTAAAACCC